TTGGAAACTCCCCTGAGCCATTGTACCTTGGGATTTTGTAATTTGTTTTTGGATTCACAGGCATTCGTACCAAGGAATTTGTCTTGGGTTTCAGAAGAGACCTTGACTTGGATTTGAGAACAATGTGGCAACTGTTGTGACTTTGGAGAAGGGATTATTAATTTTTCATTGTATGCAAGCTAGTTATATCATTTTAGGCAGAATTATTAACTTGTTATTTGGAGATTAAGAGCTATGTTTGTGTGTCAAGTTGACAAGGGATAGAATGTGGCACTTAAGTTGAATTGTTGGTTTGAGTGACTTTTTGACTCTCCTAGGAGATTAGTGAAGTACCCTTTTGTGTGTGTCTGAATGAGTCATGAAGGCACAATCATGGGTATTTGTCTGTTTACTGGGCCCTCTTCTCTAGTGCTGTTCCCTTGCTCTGCTTTCTGGCCTTAGTGAACTAAGAAGCTTTATTACATCATGCTTTTTGTCATAATGTGTCTGCCTTGGAAATACCTGATTATAGACGGAATCCTCTGAAACCATAAGTGAAATAAATTACTTCTCCTTTAAGCTGCAGGTACCACATACTTATTTCAGCAATGGAAAAACACCAGGATACCCTATTAAGTGATACTGTTGGTGAAAATCATGTGACTGTGTATATAATGGTTATTTCAGGGGGTCTTGTTCTGATAGATATGGCCTTTTTAATGCTAATACCATACTGCTTTGATGTATATTGCTTTGTAGTAGTAAGTTTTGAAGTCCGGAAGTACAGGTTTTATAGTTCTTATATTTCAAGATTGTTTTGGCTATTGAGGGTCTCTGATGATTCCACATGCATTTTAATATTCTTTTTAAATTTTTTATTTTTATTTTAAAAAGAATGAAGCAAGACAAGATAATAAAATGAACTAAACTAATATGAGAATGACCTTTGAGTTTCAAAAAACAAGACAGTAGGTTTGCAGGACAGTAGGTTCATAGTTTTTTTTGGTACCGAGGATCAAACTCATGACCTTGCACTTTCCACAGAGCTATATACCCAGCTAAACAAGACAGTAGAAAATCAACAATAGTTACTGTATTGCACATTGTTATCCTCCTAATAGTTGATCAGCCCACGAGATACAGACATGCAAAGTTAATCAAACAATATAAGCCCTAAGTTGTTTCTTTACTTCAGTTGCTATCATTTTAGAAATCTCAGGCTTCCAATTTGTTCTATGTCTATGTTTCCCAAACTTGTTTTGGGTGAGATATAGGCATGCATAATTAATCAAACAATGTAAGTACTAAGTTGTTTCTGTATTTCAATTGCAATCATTTCATAAACTCCAGGTGTGTAACTTCCAACTTCCTTTGTGTCTATGTCTCCTGAACTTGCTCTGGGTGGGGCTCACGGTGGTAGGGCATGGCTTCGCCAGGCCTGCAGCTGCTGGCTCACTTGGGGCATGGCTTCTTTTCTGTACCTCTGGTTGCTGGCTTAGAGTTGGGAGGAGGGTGGACAACTAGGTGTGGGTGGCTTCCTCTCTGGGGCTGCAGAGGTGGTTTACTAGGGTTGGCATCTTCTCTAGGCCTACTGCAGGGCTCACCAGGGTGTGGGGCTTCCTGTCCTTGGGCTGCAGCTGCCAGCCTGATTTTCTTTTTGCTGCATTCTTGGATTATCTCTCTCTATGGCTTTCAAGTCTTACTTTAGATCCTTTCTGGGTCCAGGGAATCCACTTCCCTCCTTTTTCTCTTCCTCATGTTGCTATAGTCCAGTGTCTGGATACCGAATCTTGGCGAGGCTCTTTCTCTGCTGCTCACCATTCCATCTTTCTGGAAGTCCTGCTTTTTAAAATTTGTATAATAAATATCATTAAAGTTGTGATAGGCATTGTATTGAATCTGTAGATTGCTTTGGGTTGTTGACAGTAAGCCTTCTTAACCATGAGCATGATATATATTCTTTCTTTTTTTTTCTTTCTTTCAAAACTAGGGCCACACTGAACTATATTCTGTGCTTTTTTTGAGACTAGGTTTGCTTAGTTACTGAGTTGCCAAGTCTGAGCTTGAAAATGTGATCCTCTTGCCTCAGCGTCCTATGAGCCTGAGATTACAGTTGTGTGCCACAGTGTCTGGCTTAATAATGTTTTGTAGTTCTTATTGTCATGCTTTCACTTTTTTGGGTCATTTTTAGGTGTTTTAGATTTTTGATGCTTTTGTAAATGGAATTGTTTCTGTAATTTCCTTTTCATTATTTATGTATATATAGAAAAGCAACTGATTTTGTGTGTTGAATTTGTATCCTTCTACTTTTTAAAATTTATTAGTTCTGGTAGTTTTCTTTACTCAGTTTTCTACATATGTGATCAGATCTGCATATAGAGATAACTTTTTTTCTAATTTGTCTTTTCTTTTTCTTGCTTAATTGCTTTGGCTAGAATTATCCAGTTCTATGTTGAATAGAAATACAAAAAGCAGGCTACCTTTCCTTGTTTCTAATCTTAGAAGTTTTCAAGCTTTTATCATTAGGTATACCATATGAGCTATGGATTTTCTTGTGTGACTTTCGTATATGTTGAGATAGTATAGTTTCTGTCTATCCTTATATTGTTTTGTGGTTTTAGTATGAAGGGTGTTAAGTTTAATCAGATGGTTTTTCTGCTATCAGTGGAGATGACCATGTGGTTACTTTTCCTTCACGTGGTATATTTCATTGTGTAAAGACAATGTGTTACATTTGTGTAAATCTGCACATACTGAGCCATTCTTAACGCAGGAATCAATTTTATTTGGTAGAGTCTTTTGAGTATCCTACTATATTGGGTTTTCCAGTATTTCTTGAATATTATAGCCTGAGTGTTCATAAAGTATATTGGTCTATAGTTTTGTTTTTGTTTTTTGGGTAGTGTCTTTGGTTTTAGTATGCAGGTAATATCTCATAGGATGAATTTTAGAATCTTTCCTTCAGTTTTTTGGAAAAGATTTGAGAAGTTGAGTTAAAATGGTTTTATCTTTTTATTCCCCTCAGTTGATGTTATGGTTTGTATGTGAAATATCCCCGCAAATTATCATATGTGGAAGGTGATTGATTCATAAGAACTACTTATAGTTAAACTTACCAGTGGATTCATTGCTTGATAAGTAGCTGAATGTGAACTTAGGAGTTGGGCCTGTTTGGAGGTGATTATAACTGGAGGCCTGATCTAGTAGGGTGTACATATTCTTGTCTCTGTCGTCTCCCTTCTGTCTTTGTTTCCTGACCATGTGTGTTGAATACCTTTTCTTCTATCATGTCTCTTTGGTGTCCTGTTTCTGTCTGTGAGCCGGGTAATCATGGACTAAAACCATAAGGCAAAGTAAATGTCTCTTTTAAGTTGCATATGTAAGGTATTTTGTCCCAGCAACCAGAAAGTAACTAAGACAGTGTGCAGTGGTGTGTTCCCAGATAATCAGTTACATGAGTGGCTCTTTCATATCATTGAGACGTCATTAAACATGCCTTCTTTGATGGGAACTAAGAGTTTTCTCAGGAGGAGGGGTTGGGGGAGGAAAAAGAAAAGAAAAGAAAACAAGTCTTAGCAAACTTCCTTGGATATCTAAAGTAGCATTTTAGTTATTTTGGTTTTTAAATTTTTTTATTTTTATTTTTTAAAGTTATTCTCAATTTAGGTGTTAGCCTCATAGCAGATGCCACTGAAGTCTTGTGTTAGCTTGTTTTCTAGCAAGCTGTGCCTTCTCTTACATATAAAATAATAAACTCCATGAGCGCAGTTCTCATCATTTGAGATTTTTATATTGTTTCCATTACATAGGCATGGTTGATTAAGTTATTGGACATTGGTGATTGGGAAATAGGGCTGAAATTTCCAATGTCTAAGAACATGGTGGTTTACTTTGACAACCAGTCTCCATTCTGAAGCTACATAGGTCTCACTGAGAATCACTTTGTTAGTATAACTTAAGATACAAGGGTAATTAAGTCTCCAAGGATTTTAGGAGTGCTTTTGATAGGAACCTGGTAAGCAGTCTAATTAAGCTTTATTATTTTAAAACTGCACTGTATAGGATTGTTGTAAGGATAAATGAGATTACACATGCAAAGTCCTTAGCAGCTCTTGGTACAAATAGCAGTGGCTCTACTGCTACAACATAAATGTTTTCTTTTCCTACCTGTTTTTCTTAACCTCCTCATCACTTGTCTCGTTTCCTTCCTTTGACCATTTTTCCTTGTGTTTGTCTGTGTAATACTTCTCCGACAGTTTTGTTTTTGAGTTTTTAGTATTATATCATATTTGGGTCAGATGCCGAGGAGTTGAGTGATTAGGGATGACTTGGCTGAAAGCAAGTGGTGTTAGTGTGAGTGCTGCATGCAGAAGACTTGTGACAAGCCACCCTCTCTTACTGTCTTTCCTTCATATGGTGAAGTTATTTGTTTTGATTTTTCTCAAGGATGGTAGGCATCAGAGGGAACAGTGTTTGAATTTGGTTTTTTGGACAAATAGTTGCAATAGTGTTACCCAAGGGTTAAGTATTAAGATAATAAATAATGATTTCTTATGGTCATGATGATTCTTGAGCTATATCCTTTGCTTTATGGATGACACTGATGATTTAAAAGAAAAGATTTAATCACCATTTCATCAGTAATGTGGGTAATAACAACAAAGAATATTATAGCAAGGAGATTTTCTTATTTACTCGTTAGCCTTTTCTTGGTTTAATGACATGAGAAAGAGGTACTTGTTGCTGTAAGTGATGGTGCATGCCTGAAATCCTAGCTACTTGGGAGGTTGAGGCAGGAAGATTGCAAGTTTGAGGCTGGTCAGAGCAACTTAAGTGTAAATTCCTGTGTCAAAAGTGATGTACCTCAGGGATAGATTGCTTGTGGGTGAAGTCCTGGGTTCAGTCCCAGGTTCTCAAAAAAAAAAAAAAAAAAAAAAAAAGTATTGTACTTTTTACTTGTGTTCTCTGGTAAGAATTTATGTGACATATTTCAATAATTTTTAAAAAATGTTCCTTTCCAGTTAACAGAAGATGAAATTGCAACCATTCTAAAATCTACATTGAAAGGATTAGAATATTTACACTTCATGAGAAAAATACATAGAGATATAAAAGCTGGAAATATTCTCCTCAATACGGAAGGACATGCAAAATTGGCAGATTTTGGAGTGGCTGGTCAGTTAACAGTAAGTTGACTGATAATTTTGGCTTATTTGTTCAAGCTCCATTGTGACTAAACTTTGACAATATTTTTGGGGCATAGAAAGAAATGTGTAACTTCCTTGTTCTTTTGAAGGAGCCATAATTGATCCAAATTTAAATATTCATTTTATTTGTAATTTAAGGGACATTGAATATATATCTTGTCAGAATGCTTAAATACTATAAACAGGAAGCCATCTTAGTACGCTGGTTTTGTAGCTTTTATATTTATAATACTATCTTTAATTAAATAGAGTTGCTACTTGTGGATGTTTAGTTATTTCAAACTTTTAATTCCTAAATAATACTGTGTTGAAGTTCTAGAAAAATAGTCCATTTCAATAGAATCTGTGATATCTGAGGTTTTAAAACATGTAATTTAAAAAATATGTTTGACATATAGATTTTCTTGTATTCTTATAGTAATGTTTGTGTCTGTATAATGTTATTGCAGGATACAATGGCAAAACGCAATACTGTGATAGGAACTCCATTTTGGATGGCTCCTGAGGTAATTCAAGAAATAGGTTATAACTGTGTGGCTGACATCTGGTCACTTGGCATTACTTCTATAGAAATGGCTGAAGGAAAACCTCCTTATGCTGATATACATCCGATGAGGGTAAGAAAACTGCAGTTTGCTAAAAATGTTGACTGTGTGTTACACTTTTGTAATATTTATAAAAGTAAATTTAATTCATCTCAATTTAGATTCTATACAAAAAGTAGTAAAATTACCTGTCAAAGGTTAGTGACTATCGGTTTTTCTTATCCTTGCCTTCGTATGTGTAAGACCTAAAGAACTGAAAACTCTGGTCGTTTCCACAATCACTTTTCCCCCAGAAGAATACAACTGTATGTGCACGTTAGTGGAAGAATTGGTAAATCAGTTTTCTCTTTCTTACTTACTCTGTATTTTCTACCTTTCTGTGATTTTCTTTATTTCTTTAATCTTTTTTATTTGAGGACAATATTTTTTAAAAATCCTGATTTGTAATATTGCTAGCTTCCTTCAAGGAAGTTAGGTGTATTTGGTTTGTCCTTAATGAAGAAATAGTTCCTTTGAATACCAACCATTCTATGCTTCAATGAACTCCTTTTCTAGGAATATTTTTGAATTTGAAATATATGTCTTCATATTCAAGTCTAATTTTCTATGCTTTAGGGTTTGTAATGGTATAGTTCTTAGATTTGTTAGTACAGTATATGAATCTCAATTTCTCATAAATTCTTTTATCTTTGTATACTTACTGCCCTCTAGTGGTGGAAATTATCTTCGGGGTATAGGAATGAAGGAGAAAGGAAAGAGGAAAGAATTGATTTGTAGAAGATCATAGGATGACTGGAAACATGTGTGAAGTAGTAGTTGTGATATTTTAGAATATTGTGAACAGGAATAAATTGAAATTATGCCGGATACTACACTGCTATCATACGTTAACTTTCAATAATACAGGTAGCACTACACTGTACTTAAAATACTTAAAAATCTGTGTGCCATACAGCAACATGTTACATACCCAATTCTTTGAACAGTACATTTCTATATAAATATGTACTGTTTTCCTTGTACATATTAATTCCTTTTCCTGAAGTGCAAAATTTAAAAATTCATTGATTATTTGAAAACAATATGAAAAATTGCAAGATGAGCATACAAATTCCTGAACCACAACTCTTATTTATTCTATGATTATTAGTTATCTGTGGTATTTTTTTAAATGAAATTTGTAGGGTGACTCCCAAATGAGGTATGTTTTCACTGAAAGAAGTAAAGCTTACTAAATCATTCAAATCTTGCTAAGTTCCAGAGCTGGGATGTAATTTAGATCTTATTACAGTCTTGTTTCCTTCTTGTGTAAATCTCAGTTTTTCAAACAAATAATTCATATATCAGATAGGAAATAATTGTAAAATGTGGCCTCTGCAGGGATCTTAAAATATTACTTGAGAAGTCATACATACAAAATAATAAAAGGTACCTGGAGACGATGTTTCTGTTTTATTCATATACTGTGTATATTTCAAACGTCCTAGTATTTTAGGTCCATTTTTTTCCCTATCACATTCACTTTAAATTTTAATAAAATTTCAAGTCACAAGTTAGATTTTTATATAGAGCCTCCTTAAGAGCCACCCTCCCAAATAGAGCATGCTTTTTTTTTTGTTAAAATTGGGATATAGGTCATTCTTTTTTTTTCTTATTTTTTTCGGTGTTGCCAGACAACGTCCTGCTGTGTAGCTCAGGCTGGCTTTGAACTCACAGTAATTTTTCTGCCTCAGCCTCCCCAGTGCTGAGATTACAAGTGTGTGTCATCATGACTGGCTAATAGAGGTCATTCTTGATTTTCTGATTCTGTGGATATTTTATAAAATACTGCCTTATGAATTTCAAACACAGTATAGTTTTAAGTTTCTATTCAAATATTGTCATTATTTAGTTTTCTTTCTGTTTGTGAACTATTTTAAAAATTAGGGTATAGAACTGTAAGTGTTGGTAAGCAGTCAAGATCATGTAGCAGATACAGATTTTCCAAAATTTGAATGTTCACTTGACAGCTTGAATTTTATAATTGACAAGTACTGAGGTTTCTTTCTTTTTTTTTTTTTTTCCTTAAAACGACAAGTTCCACTTGGCTCATTTTTGAGAAAATGTCAGTCACACAGACAAGGGATGAACATGTGCTTATAAATTTATATCCAGCTATTAAGATTAAAATTAATAACTAATGGCAAATGAAAGTATATCTGGTCCTTAAGCTTGCTATACTTTTCTTGGAGAAACATAGCATTTTAATAATGTGAAATAAATACTCTCCTAAATACAGGGTAGAGATATGGAGGAGGTCCTTCCTTTATAATGTGCAATAAAACAATATTGTAACTTTTCCATTGCAAATCACATGTGCCTTTTGGAAGATTTGTTGCAGGCATTTAACATGTAGATGAAGGGATGGGAATGGCACAGAGATCAAGTATTTTCATTTAGTGTAGGATAGAATAAATCTGAAATTAAGGTGTTGGCAGTGCTGTATTCAGAGGCTTCAAAGAGCTTATTCTGCTATTTTACAATCTTAAGATTGCTACTGACAATCCTAAGATTTTCCTTGAGGTGTAATTGTACCGCTTCAGTCTCTGCCTATGTTTTCACATTGAATTATTCTCTGAGTACTTGTGTCTTTTTCATCTGTCTCAAATTTCTCTCAGCTTTTCTTTTATGAGTACAGTGTCACTGGATTTAAGATCCATTCCAGTAACCCTATTTTCAAGATCCTTAATTATATTTGCAAATATTATTTTCATTTCTTCTAAGAAAGGATACAGTTAGAACTCTATAGATTAGGACAGTGATGGTGAACCTTTTAGAGCTTTTCATTGGTAAGAAACATCTGGCTGTGGCATGTGTGGCATAGGTTTGCCATCACTGGATAAGGATTAGGATGTATCTTTTTGAGGAGCCATTGTTCAACCCTCTGCATCTCCTATAATCTGTTCTCCTGTATTTCAATTATATATAAAATTTGAGATTAATGACTAATTAAGATTAGTGACCAATATATGACATAAAATTTAGCATTATAGTTTTTAGGCATGTACTTCATTGGTATTAAGCACATTTGCATTGTCTTGTAACTATCTCTAGTGTTAATTATCAGAAATGTTTTAATCACTTCAAACTGACATTGTACTTGTTAGACAATAGCTCTTCATATCCTCTTGTTCCAATACTTGGTAACCACTATTTACTTTCTGTCTTTATGAGTTGGACTATTCTAATGCCCTTTTAAGAGAGGATTTATACACTACTGTAAATATTTTGTGTGTGACTTGTTGGAAAATTAGTTTTCCAACTAATTCATGCTTCAATCCGTTTCCAACCATTTCATGGTCCAATCGTGTAATATTTATAAGAAGTTTCTTCCATTTAAAGAGTGAATAATAGTTCATTATATATGTATACCATAATTTGATTATACTTGGGTTTCTTTTACCTTTGGGCTACTGTGAAGATAGTATAATACTTGTTTATTTTGTGTTTTTTTTTCTTTGCTTGTAACCCTTGTAGTGGGTGTAAAGTGCTTATCTTACTGTGAGTTTGAGTTGCATTTCCTAGATGACTTCTGATGTTGAGCATGTTTTCGTGTGCTTATTGATCACTTGTGCAGTCTTCTTTTTGAGAATCGTCTACTAAGGGCTGTCATCCCAGGTGTCCCTTGCCTGCCATTTCCCATGCTGGGTTTCAAATTTAGAACTTGTGCATGGTGGTGAATACTCTACCACTGAACTACTTATATCGCTGGCCTCTGCCATTTTAAAAATCAGATTGATTTTTGTTATTGTTGAGTTTCTGGTCTCATTCTTATTAGTTTCTCTCTAATACTTGTCTCTTTTCTCATTGTTGGCATAAATCTTCTGGACTTAGACTTTTATACCTCTTTCGTTGTCTTTGTAGTTGTCCTTTCTGTCATTTTTCTGCATACCCAATTGTAATACTAACTCCCTTTAGATTTCTTCCTCTGTAATCAGTTCAGTGAAAGTTCCCTGAATCAGAATAGTTTTTACTCTCAGAAGATAAGTCATTATGTAAATGACTTAACTACCAAATAGGGGATTCTTTAATCATTAATGAGTGCTTTACTTTATATGGCAGTTGCTTTCTGAAGAAATTGTGTAATTATATAATATGTGTAAATCAGCACTTTAAATAATTTGAATTTTTAATAACTTTTAAAATGAATCCTTTACGAATGAAAATATTGCTCTTGAAACTTATCTGCCATGTGGGACATTCTTATGTTATCAGGTATTTATTAATATTAAAATTAATATTAAATTTACTAATATTAAAATTTTCAATACTCACAAAAAAATGGAAGAAATTCATATTCTCATGTGAAGGTAGAGAATCTGGCCTTGAGATCAATTGGAGAGTACTGTTTATCTTCTTTCTTACATTGGTTGTTTTGTATTAGAAACACTAAATGTCATCGAGGTGCATTTTGAGGACAGGTAATCTGGAATTGTCCTCTTTATTGTTTACTTCCTTTCCTCTGTCCTTTATTTTCTTCTGTAAATATTTAGTGCATATTTATCATGTTCCAGTAGGGCTTTGAAGTAATGTGAAACAGAGCAGACATAGTCCCTGTAATATTAGAACTTCAGCTTAAATTATTTAACATTCTAATGCTATAATTATTTAGCTTACCATTTGTTGCAAGACAAAGGGATAGATAAATGTTGTTTGCAAGACTGTTATACATTGTAACCACTTTTATGGATCATATGGCTATTAATAAAATTATTATTATTACAGTGTTGTTCCCCCTTATCTGAGGTTTCACTTTGTATATGCAGTTGCAGTTACCCATGGTCAGCCACCACCACCCAAAAATAATAAAAGTAAAATTCCAGAAAGAAATAATTTATAAGGTTTAAATCATGCCCTATTTTGAATAGTATGATGAAATTTCACACAGTTCTGTGAATCTTCTCCTTGTCCAGCATATCCATGCTGTTTGTGTTACCTTTTAGTCAGTTGGTAGCTGTCTTGGTCTTCAGATTGTGAGGTACTGTATCATAGTGCTTGTGTTCAGGTAGCCCTTACATGGTAGTCTACCTCTG